TTCTTTCTTTCTTTCTTTCTTTCTTTCTTTCTTTCTTTCTTTCTTTCTTTCTTTCTTTTTTTGAGATGGTGTCTTGCTCTGTCACCCAGGCTGGAGTACAGTGTCACAATCTCGGCTCACTGCAGCCTCTGCCTCCCAGGTTCCAGTGGTTTTCCTGCCTCAGCTTCCCAGGTAGCTGGGATTACAGGCACATGCCACCATGCCTGGCTAATTTTTGTATTTTTAGTAGAGACGGGGTTTCACCATGCTGGCCAAGCTGCTCTCGAACTCCTGACCTCAGGCGATCTGTCCACCTCAGCTTCCCAAAGTGCTGGGATTACAGGTGTGAGCCACCGAGCCTGACCTGCACCTGCATTTCTTTTTAAAATCAAGGAAATCTTTTCCAGAAGTTCCCCAGAAGACTTTTATCAAGTGCTGTTGAACAGAACTGCATCAAATACACCTTCCCAAACCAGTCATTGGCAAGGGAAATGAGATTACCAATGAAGACTCACCTCTGGTGTTGGAACTGGGACTGTGGGTGCTTACCCTAACAACAGGTTCTGTTAGGAAAGAGAAAGGAGGCAGAGGATCAGCTGTGTGGTTGCTACATGTGACTTCCACAGGCTCTCATCCCCTGGCCATTTGTTCTTAGGCCCCTCTTCCTCCGCCCACCCCTTAAATGTCAATACTCCTGGTCTTCAATATTCTCCAAACACACTCTTTCTGGATCATCTCATTTATTCTTATGGTTTCAGTTTCTACTTTATGACTTCTGAAATTGCTTCTTTTCTGAGCTTCAGATTTACTGATATTAATAAGAAACAATATAACAATAATAATAGTACTGACATTTATTAGGTGCATATTACCTTCCAGGCTGTGTACCTTATCTTATTTAATTAACACGAAAACTTTATAACCCTATCCCCCCACCGCCCACTTTTTTTTTTAAGACAGTGTCTCACTCTGTCACCCAGGCTAGAGTGCAGTGGTGTGATCTCAGCTCACTGCAACCTCTGCTTCCCAGGCTCTAGCAATTCTCCCACCTCAGGCTCTGCAAACCTATTCTTATTCCTGTCTTACAGACAAATAAACAGGTTTTTTGCCCAAGTTAGCAGAACTAATAAGTTGGTGAAACTAGAAGTTGGACCCAGTCTGTCTGACTCCTATGCCCTGCTCCACTGCCTGTTAGGCTTCTGAACCTAATTCAGACACATGGCAGCCAAACAGAACTCATCATCTTCCCTGGAAACAGCCCTGTCCCATGTTCCCTGCAGCAATGAGGGAACTACCATGTATTAGTGTGCTAAACTTCTGGTACCAATTTACTGTATTAATCTGTTCTCACACTGCTATAAAGAACTACCCAAGACTGGGTAATTTCTAAATAAAAAAGGTTTAATTGACTCACAGTTCTACATTGCTGGGGAGGCTTCAGGAAACTTATAGTCATAGCAGAAGGAGAAGCAGGCACCTTCTTCACAAGGTGGCAGGAGAGAGTGTGGGTGGAGGAAAAGATGGATGCTCATGAAACCATCAGATCTCATGAGAACTCCCTCACTGTCATGATAACAGCTTGGGGGAAACTGCCCTGTAATCTGATCACCTCCCACCAGGTGTCTCCCTCAACACCTGGGGATTACAATTCAAGATGAGATTTTTTGTGTCCCCTTTGGGCAGGGACACAAAGCAAAACCGTATCATATAATTCACCCAATTTAGTCCAGAATCCCCTGGTGAAATGCAGGTGCTATCTCCCTTTTCCTTTGTCCCTTCACTATGTAATGCCAAGTTTGCTTGCTAATTATTCCTTGAACCCAGCTCTTGTTCATTCTCCACTATCACTATCTGCGTCCAGGTATGCTGTGACTGGTGTGCATGTGCCTGGGATTTCTCAGCCTCAGGGCTGGCTGTGCAGAATCTTCGCATGGCTGGAGACCCTGGGTTGGTTGTTTCCATCTGCAAACAGCCCCCCTCCTTTGTCAACCAGTGTGTCATACAACAGGAATCTTTTTCTGTGTATACATAATGAGAAACATGTTAAGAAGCATGACCTGGAGTAGACTGCACCCACCACCCACCTCTCCACTTTCCCTCTCTCACTGCATCCTTCCTCCTGACTGTGGCAGACAGAGGTTGAATCGCTCCCTTGTGATAAACCTCTGGATCGGGGGCCATCCCCTCACCACCATCAGGACCAGGTCCACATTACTTATTGTGGCTTATTGCTGGCAACAGGCCTTAAGCCTGTCATAAACAGGCCTTAAAGCAACTGGCCACAAACAAAATGTCTATAGCACTGTAACATACTTATGATGGCAGTGACGCACATTGCTGGAGGTAGTTGGTTTACTGGAGCGAGGGAAAGAAATACCTGACCCTTCCTGGGTGGAAGACCAGTTAAAGGCATTCCGGAACTGGTGCCCTGAAAATGTGTTCCAGTTGCAGTAGACATATGCATCAGAGCCTGTTTATCGCCACTAGGAAAGAATGCTTTGTTCCTGTGAAGAATGATTTTAGTTAATCTATAAACTGCAGCAATGATGATTATCACTTGCTTGCTGTCAATAAATATGTGGGTCAAACTCTGTTCATGGCTCTCAGCTGGGAAGGCTGAAGCCCCCGATGCCCCACCTTTTGCTCTTTGTGTCTGTTTCTTAATTCCTTCAGTGCCGCCTGGGTTGGGGTGTCTGCGACCGAACTGGTCTTGGCAGCTGACAAGGCCCTCCATGGCTTCCAGTGTCCCCTCCTGCCTCCACTCATGTCTTCATGAGTAGAATTCTGTGCTCCAGAAACATCATGCCTTTCTGCAGTCCTCTCCTCTATACTGTGCTGTTTCTCACCCCAGCTTCTTGGCTAATGTGGTTTCACTTGCCCAATATGCTAATAACATGGAGGTTAAGACCAGCGGTGGCATCAAGTAAACTGGGTTCAAGTCCTTGCTCTGTCACTTGTTCATGGTGAAAGAGCACTTAATCTCTCTGAACCCCAACGTATACCCCAGTTATAAAAAGAGCACCCATCTCAGGGCTGTTGTGAAGATGAAATGAAGAAAACAGGCAGACATAGTGGTTGATTTTGTTATCCATTTTGCTTAACTGCCCTGACCCCCAAGAAGGCTTCCCTAACCCTCCTTCTGAAGGACCCTGTGCAAAACTCTACAGGCACCATGCATTGACAGTTGTCTGACTGTTTCTCTGCCTCGTTTGGCTGAGGTCTCCCAGGCCTGGAATCCTTTTGAGAGTCATCTCAGGGCTCGAGTCCAGCTTGGGAAGGCCCACTGCGGCCCATCGGTCAAGGACGGAGCAGGAGGTCCTTGGGAGAAGGTGGCAACATAGTGGGGCATCGACTATAACAAATGTAGGAGCTCTACGGAACGACACCCGCCCGCCGCCGGCTTCCCAGTCTGAGACCCCAATGAAGGAGCTGTCCAAGTGGCCGCCTCTCATCTTTCATCCCAGGGGATGGAGCCAAAGCCAAGCATGGCGACTCACCTTAACCTAATCAGGATGCAGCCTGCTCATTCATTCATTTATTCAGAGAGATCTGTCAGGGTGCCAGTCAGGTGCTGGTCCAAATCTTGCATCTCCAGCAGCCTCCTGGTGGTCGGTCCCCAGGAGGGCTCGCGAGCGGCTTTAGAGTGAAGGGACAGCGCTGAGTCGCGGAGATTGGGCAGGGGAGCCAGCGTTGACAACCACACCGACAGGAGCATCCCGCGCTCGTGTGTGGGAGAATGTGTAAGGCAAGCAGGAGGGAAGAGACCATCTCGGAGACAAGGGAACAGCCAAGCAGAAACCACTGTGCTGGGCGCGTGGGGGAGGCGGGGAAAGGTAGCACATGTGTAGGGGGGGAGGAGCGGAGGGAAGGGAGTAGGAAAGACTGCTCTGGCCAGCGGCGGGTGATGGGGACACCGGTCAAGCTCGCTGAATCCGAGGGCCTGGGCAGGCTTTTAGTGCTCCATGTTTCTCCGGCGCCCAGCGTGTGCGCAGAACCTTGTCGGCTCCGACAAGGAGCTGGTTCACTCGGACTGAGTGAACCAGCACCGTCCGGAATGGCAAAACCATCGCTTGTGGCTCATTCCAAGAAAGGTCCCTACCTTCATATGTAAACTTCCTTACCAAGCTGTTGGGGCGGGGCTTACAAGAGAGGGCGGCGGGCCCAAGGTTCGGCCCCTTTCTCCGGATCTGGCATTTGGAGCAGGTTTTAAGACTTCGGGAAAAGTGGGGCCCCTGCGCAACCACTAAAGGCTGCTTCAACGGCCCTCAGGACTAAGATCTTGTTCCAGTCCTCCAGTCCTCCAATCCTAGGGCTCTACCCCAGGGGTAGAGGGTGAGAGTGGCTCCCCAGAGTACATTTGCCTTTTGGTGTAGCATTGCATCCTCATTTTGACTCTGGGGCCTGCAGTAAGCCCTGCAGGGTGCTCCACCTTGAAGCATGGGAAAATCCGATGCTGGCCGCCTTATTCCGCCGGTTGCCTGAAAAGGCCCGTGTTTATCCTTCGCTCAACAGAGAACGCAGCACACAACATTAAACACACATAAAGAGAGTGAAAGAGAGCAAGACATCTTCATCAACAAGGGCGCACCATTTAACCACCCGCGACCTCGCAGTGCGCCTCTGCAAAGTGGGGGCTCCTCTCTGTAGCAGGAGATGGGGGTGTTAATTTTGAAAGCGGTTCCCAGTTTTCCGAGGCCAAGGTTTCTGGGGCTGAGAATGGCTTTTGAGGACTGGTGAGAAATGTCGTCATTACCGAACTTTCCCCGCCACACTGTGAGTCCCACGCAAAGGCCCCATGACTACCAACCCGAGCGCTGGGTGCTCCCTGGCAGGGTCACCTTTGCCTTGTCCACGCCCCCATGTGTCCCCTGGCCAGGAGGCCATCCTTTCATCCTGGGAGGGCAGGCCTGTCCCGAAGTGCTGCCCCCAAGGCCGGGAGCTGAGATTCTTCTCGGCTTCGGGCCCAGCGCTTTCCACCTCTTGCCCTGTTGAGGGGGCATTCTCCTAGGAGGAATACCTGGGGAAACTGAGACCCAGTGCGATTATGGGCCTCCCGGAGAACACCAGCCGCCAGCACAAGTGGATTCAACCCTAGGCCTCAGCCTGGGCCCAGAGCCGTGCTTTGGAGTGGAGTTTACCCACGGCTGCCCTTCTTGGGCAAATGTCACCGTTGCCCCCGTCCCCGTAGATCCGGAGCAGGTGAGTGCTCCAAGCCAGCGGACCGCGGCCTAGGGACAGGTGCCCGCTAGAACGTGGGGGCCCCCGGTTCCCCTGCTGTCCTCCCCAGAGGCTGGGCCTGCTGGTCTCCCGGCTGTGCGCAAGGTGGGGACGGAGCCGACTGTGCTCCCCTCGCCCTCCCGGCACCGGCTCTTCTGGGCCCGCTGGGGCTGCGCACCGACTCACCCGCGCGGCCTCCGGGCTGCGCCTGCAGCGCTGGCGGCGTCCGGCCCGGCGAGGACCCGGGTCCCAGGTGGCCCCAGAGGCGGTGGAACCGGAGGGCGGGAGGGGAGGCAATGGGAGCGACCGTGCGCCACTCAGCCGCTCGGAGACTGGGACCACCGCCTCCTGCGCGGGGCCAGCGGGGGTGGGAGGAGGAGCGCGCGGGCGGGGCCGCCGTGTGAGTCCCCGCGCTCCCTCCTGGCCTGGTCCGGAGGTCCCGGGCGAGCTGAGGCCACGCTGAGGAGGGTCCTGGGGGCGCCGCGGTCCCTCCGGCCGGGCAACGCCAGGCGGGGATGGGTGTCGCCCGGCCGCGCTCAGGCTCCCTCCTCTGCAGCCTCTGCTACACGAGCGGCGCCCTTTCAGCGCGAGGGGATCTTAAACCAAAAACCCCGGCCACCCTTCTCTTGTTGGAAATGACCATTTGGGGGTTCTCCGTGGTGGGGAGTTCTGCCGGCACCGCCCCGCTTCCACGCGCCGGAGGTCGGCGAGGGCAGCGCGCGGTCCGGGCGTGCTGCCCACAGTCCTGCTCCGTGGCCCGCAACGCCTCAAAATGGAGTCACTCATGACAGGTGACTCAGCGCATAGGGAGGCTGCTGAGCCCCGCAGTGATCCGCGTGTGCGTGCTGTTCCCAGGCAATCACGCCTTGGGCAGCCCCAGACCTGACAGGAAAGTGAAGCCGAGAGGCGGCTGAGAGAACAGTGGCGACACCGTGGAGGTCCCAGAACCCCGCAGGACACTGACCCTGAGGCGCCTCTCCCTGCGCCTGAGGGCGGCGTCCGCGGGGAAGTGCGGCCCGGAAGGGTCCGTGTTGGCGCGCGGGGCTGGCGCTGCGGTTGCCTCTCCTCAGCCTGTGCCTGTGGGATCCGGTGGCTTGTCGGGGTGGGAGAGCCTCGGGTAACCCAGGCATCCAGGCACTCATTTGGCCACCGAGCCGTTGTGGAGGCGCCCGGAGTCCGCACAGCGAGGCTGACGGGGACCTGACACGGTCACGCGGCGCCGGGGAGCAGGCTCAGGTGGCCTGCGGCGGGCAGTGCTGCCCCTCCGCGTTCCGCAGGCGGGGACGGGCGACGGCTCTAGAGGGCTGCTGGGAGGCCGCCGTGTGGACAGGGAGCCAGTGCCCGGGAGCCAGGCTGCCTCCCGGAACGAGACGCCAGGCCCCCGGGAGCCAGGGCGCGACTCGCGGGCACTCGGGTCCTGGCCGGTGGCCTTGCCGCTGCGGGCTGCGCAAAGAGCGGGGTAGCGCGACGCGGTCCCTCACCAGGCAGGGGGAAGAAGGCGTCACCATGACCCCACAGCATCCCCGCCGCGTGAGCGTCCGGCCAGCGCCGCCGGCCCAACGCTGCCCCCTGGCGGGAGAGCGCTGCAGCAGCCCTGGCGAGGCAGAGCCGCAGGACCAGACCTCCGCGCTGGCCTCGAGTCAACGCTGCCTCGGAGGGTCGGGAGCAGGGTCGCCCTCCATGTCCCATAGCAACCCTCACATTAAAAACAACGAGTTTATTGAGATATGATATATTATATGCATACTATAAATACCAGAAAATTTAAGTACGGTTCATGGAAGTATACAGTTCTATGACTTCTTTCTTTTATTTTTTAGATACAGGTTGTCTCTCTGTCGCCCAGGCTGGAGTGCAATGGCACTATCTTGGCTCACTGCAGCCTTGACCTTCTGGGCTCCAGCGCTCCTCCCGCCTCAGCCTCCCGAGTAGCTGGGACCACAGGCGCCGCCGCGATGCCCGGCTCAGTTCCATGACTTTTGACACATGAAACCACCATGCTAGCCTCCCCTCGGTTCAAGAAGCATATTTCCTCTCCTCCCAAAAGTACCCTCCTGCCCTTCTGCAGCAAATCCTTCACCTCCCCTCGACCCTGTCTCCAGACAACTGTTCATCTGATGTCTGTCACTGCACTTTGTCTCTCTCAGAATTGCACACAAGAAGCGTTCACTGCCTGGTCTTTTGTGCCTGGCTTTCTTCGTTTAGCGCATGCATCTGAGAGTCACCCATATGGTGTGTGCGTTGTAAGTTTCCTCTACTGTGGTCTTGAGACCTCTCTGGAGAGTCGCTGTAAAGGGCAATTCTGCCCTGGCAGGGCTCCTGGGATTTGGTCGTGAGAGTTTACAGTGGGCCTTTCATGGGACACCTCTGTATCCTGGTTGACCAGACATCCCTCTCCCAGGAGACTTATCTATCCTGGCAGATGCCCTTGCAATTCTTGTCTGACCTGTATCTAGTTTATTTCCACCAGGATAGCTGCTCTCTAGGAAAAGCCCTGACCAGGGAAAACCTAAGGTT